CTATTCATTTTGATGTTTCGGCATAAATACTACCGCAATTATCTATATGTTGCCGCACCTCTCGGTTGCCGAATTTATTGTGGATATTCTTTTACTGTTTATCTTAATGCACCGTGAAAATTGCTTGGCCACATCACATATTGAAGGAAAGAGCTTTTCTAAACGCTTTTATGCATATCAGGTAGGGGACTAACATGACAAAAAACTTCAGTTATGCCACGTCTGACACTGGAAGAGCGACTGCGGGCCCTGGGGATGTTGGAGGCTGGGTGGAACCAAAGAGATTTGATCATGTGACCTTGCATTTTAATGATCTTTTCTGACCTTTATTTCACCTTGTGTGACTGAATAATGGGTGATATTTCACATGAAAACTGTTATTTTCTTAATGTGCTGAAGGAACTTAAAATATTATTTGATAAATAAATGATGCATTTTCATTGACTGTCAGTATATGTACAAAAAGTAAGATGACAAATACCCTCTCTTCAGAGGATTAGTTATCTGGCCTACCTAACTACCAGATGTGGCACTGAAAGATCCAGAATTTACCATAGATTGGATCAGGTTACCGGTTTACAAGGTGTGTATCAGTACACGCTTGGAAGTGTCAGACACGGAACGAGCACCAGACAAGAGGGTGGCACATCTGACACTTCGAAGAACGTAATGATACACACCTTGAAAAACGATAGAGTGATGCGATCAACGGTAAACTCTGGATCCTTCTGTGCTGCGTCTGGTAGTTGGGTAGGCCTGGTTATGTTGTTACCACTCAAACTTTTGAGGAACAATCCACATACAATGCATGTGAAAAAATTCCTGGAAATTATACAGGTTTATTATTCATCAAAGCATACGGTATGCAAAACTATATGTATGCCAGTTTTCTATTTGTAAATGTTGAAATTTTACTGTCAAGTATGAAATTTATCAGTCTCCATCTCCATTGCAAGAGTGACTCTTTTTTACAACTAAAAAAAAATGGTTCATGAATTGCCTATCTGTGAACACTTTGATTATGGATGCCTTGTTAATGAGAGGAAAGTTTTGAAATTTCCAGGAAAACATTCTTTGCTGTAACACCCAGTGTGTGCCTTTAGCTAAGTGTTTGTATTGATGGTATTCCAGTCTATCATTACACTCACTGTCCATTTAAAATGTTGCTCATTGGGTCAAACATTTTTTTCCACAAAACCAGCCCGTCTTATTACTTTGTCTTGTCTAACCAGGTTTTGCAGCTTTTTTTGACAATGGTTATGGAATCCGGGTGGATGCTGTAAAAGCCATGATCAAAAAGTTGGAAGAAATAGAGAAGTGGTTTATGTCACCTTCAGGCCTATGTTTCTATGCAAGTTCACTGTTGCTAGTATATGATGGAGAGAGAACCAGCACAGGCAAAACAGATGAGGAAGTATCTGATGGCATTGACTATATCAAAGAAACAGACTGTGCTTGTACCCCTGAAGTGGCTGGATGTGTAAATCAGTGTCAGCTTGCCATGGACTTAGAATGCCCAGTAGCTGTGAAAATGATCGATTTTGCTCATGTCTTTCCTGCAAGTGGTCTGGATGAAAATTATTTAACAGGACTGCGCAGTTTAATAGCATATCTCCACAGAGTACTGGAACTTTGACAAATGTTGTCAACTAGTTATAACACTTATTTGTCTCATCTTATTATAAAGTCAGTACTGCCATGAGCTTTAAGCTATATCTTAATTTTCCAGATTTTTTTCTTGTAGAAAGATTGATTACATGGAATGCTTTGTTATGATAACTTTTATATTGTCAGTTTATCCCAAGTCGGGTCCCAAGTGCAAGTAACTGATATTTTAACAGTGTTGAAGTTTTAATCAATATCACTGTAATAAACATTTTTTTAAAATGTTTTTTTTTTTGTTGTCTTTTTCCTTTTTGTAAAGCATGATGGGGTGGATTTGCTATATTTTCTTAACAAGGAAAGGAAAGGTGCATTCGGAAGCTATATGACAGAATAAATAGTTTATTTCTCCTTAAACAGCATACAGTGTACTTATTACTAATTCAGAACTTACTATTGCTACATAACTATACATCTGAACAAAATGCCCTGCAACTAGCATTCTGACTAAACCTTTAAAAAGTGGGAACCAACATTTTGTCTTCTTGTCTCTTTCTAAACGATGGCATGGTATAAGCTCTCTTAAAATGACAATATTATCACTTGGAAAGAAAAGAAATGGACAATGAGATATCAGTGACTTCTTGAAAATTGACAAACACACCTATAAATGTCTATTTTGCATGTTTATCTAGTGCATCCTTATTGGAATGAAAATATTACATAATTACATATTTAATAGTGACAGGAATTGCACCTTTGTGTTAACTTGGAATGAATAATTATCTTTGTGCAAAACTGATTACTAAAGAAATCTGCATTTTTTTCACAGCAATGAATGAATCAGTAACCATTGCCTAACAAAGTGCAAAGTTCCAAGACCATAAAAAAGCTCTCTATAAAAAGATACATTTGAATGTAGATCCGGGAATGGTGAAAATAATTGCCCCGACTTCCTTTATCTGGGAAAGACATAAATAAATGTCAGACAGTTCTGACTTAGTTTTTAGTGACATGACAAAACTGCCAATTTCACCCATCTCTCAACATTCTGCAAGATGTAACAAAGTGGCTACAATGTATATCCAATATACATGAATATCATGTACTAAAATGCATGAAAGCAAGATTATATGTTCCTTTTTTTCAATAAATGCACAGAAAATGTGTTTTACTTAAGATGTCAGATGCTTTTGGTAAGCATGATGTAACAAAAATTGTGGTCTCCATAACTAAGGATTGTGACCATCATTTAATGTCTCTAGCCCCCCCCCCCCAATCCCCTGCCAACAATTTCATCCTCAAGCTGGATCAAAACTATTACATCAGTAGTCTGGAGCTGGTGTCAGAAGAGTCTTGATGAAGTCTGCATACTTAACTTGTCCATTTGGTTGGATCTTTGCCTCCCTGAATAATGCATCAACTGAAAATAAAAGTATTTGTGTAATGATCAAGAGTATGAAATGAGAATCTGTAAATCACTACTTCAAATAAAACATAAGTTTTCATTTCAGTATCAACTTTGATAAATTGTGAAGGAACCAAATATGTTTTGACCGATGGGAAGCATAGCAAAAGCAGAAGTTAAAATATATTCGTGTACAAGGATGCACAGTAACCACAACTCATACAAGAAACTAAAATAACATAATTCGTAAACAAATTATTGTCAGTAGAAAAACACAACATATTTTCACCTTCTCTCTTGTTCAGTTTTTCCCCAAATTGTGTCAGAATATTCTTGACCTCCGATGCATTCACGTATCCTCTCCGTTGAATATCATGCGACTGGAACGCTGCCACAAGTTCCTCCTGACACTTCTCATTCTGGGAATGTTCATGCATGATATCCAGGAAAGTGGCAAAATCAATCTTGCCCTCTGGAATTCAAAACAGGTAAGGAATAGAATAAATCTGAAGACAATAGTACATAACAGAGCTGATGAAATTCTTTTCAGAATGAATTTTATTTTATAGCGCTGAATGCTACAGTATTTATTTATGTTAATGCAGGTCTAAAACTGGATTGATTTTGGATCTTATCAGAGTATTGATAGTAGCAAAATTCTTAAGTAGTTTAATGTGGTTCTCAGATCCCTTATCTATGCACAAACCAATCACTTACTTTCTGACATGTAAATCATTAAATTAATAATATCAAATTATTAATAGTTTAAAAGTTTTCATTCATGATAGTTTTACAGTATTTAATATACCTGTTGACTGTTGCATCTGTTCACACTGACAGACTTGGTCACAACTGCTATCATATGTGTCATGAATGATAACTTTTCAACTATCAAAAACTATTTTCACATATGAAATTATTACATCTAAATTATAAAGTCTAAAATATTATACTAACCTTTCTGGTATTTTTTGTAATATGTTTGCAACTCTACAATGGTTGGGCTATAGCCTAATGATCTCATAATTATCTTTAGCTCCTCTACATTGACAATATGCCTTTGTCTTGCATAGAAGGAAAAACATTCCTTGAACTCTGAAAGAGATTAATATAACTTATAAGTAATGACAAGTTGTGAGTATTTTATTTAAAAATAATTATTCATAAAATTTTAATTATGCCATTCAAACTTAAATGATTCAGTGATTGAAACAGTACATGGATTTTGTCAAGAAATGTATCTGAACTGTTTAATTAGAAAAGAGTCTGCTTGGTTAGGAATTTAGGGCGTGTCCAACTTCGGCAGTGTACTGAATCTGTAACTCATCAGAATAAAATACTCATAACTCAACGGGAAAACTATGCAATAAAATAACCAGTGAACCTGGTATTTTTTCTTACCATCTATGTCACTCTTGCTAAAGAATCGGGCCTGAAAAGATAAAGAAATATTTTGAGAGTTTTGATGCTGTTGCAGGGTTATAAAGTGAAAAACTAGAAATAAATGAAACGGTACTCACCATCTTGAATGATCCCGCACTTAATTATGTTTTGTAAATGTTTCTTATTTCAAATAAAATGTATTAAATGGTGTTATAAAAATAAAAAAAATATTTGATGTTTAGAAAAGATATGTCAGTTAAAATCCCATTCATTCAATTGAGTATTATTTGATGGAAAAAATTCAGGGTGACTTGAACGACCTTCACCTTTGAATTTATTCTGCATCAGTAGCTAACGCATTGGTTATTTACAGGAGTATTTATAAGATGAATAATAGTTTGAAGAAGATGTGAAAGTTAAACAATTTGATTCAGAACGAGAAGGTGCATCCATGTAAATGGTGAGCAAAGAACTGAAATGTTTTGAGATATCTATCTTACCATTCTATTTCTAACGTAAATGAATGTTTTCATTCAATTTCAAGTTGGCCATATACCTACATGTAAGTCATGCCCTTCTGGGGACATCTGTTGCAATTTCCTACGTCTTGAGGGTGGTGGAAAGGAGCTATTTGATTTTAAAGTTTATGTGTTTTGTTCTTATCTGTGGCCATTTATTATTGTTTCCAGATGACCATACCTGAGTGAAGCCATTTATCCATTAGACTATGCTACTCCTACGTTGTGTAGCTGATACCATTCCCACTAGTTGTATGATGTAATACTTATTTAGTTATGTAAGACCGAATTATGGCCATATAGATTTACTTCTTGTTTTAGTAAATTTTCATTTATTTTCTCAATGATATTTTACGGGTGGGCCAATTTAGTACAGTATCTTTAGGGATGAATGTACCCCCATTACACCAATTTGGGGTGGGGGGGGGGGGGTCTTTGGAAAATTGGGTACCTAATGTTACATCCACAAAGAAACGGTGTTAAATAGGTCAAAACATTATCAGTCTTTTTACAATAAAGTTTTATAATTCATAAATGTATTCTTACAAAGTTAGTTTTTTTGTAAGTGAAAGACTATCTATAGTTGTGTTCAGTAAGAATGTTACTTTTACAAAAGATGATTTCTTTTCTTCTTAAATCAAATGGTGAATGTGCCAGGTGCATGTCAAAAGAAGTCAAAATTAAGCTTAGGAATAAAATTCAAGACAATTTATGAACATTATATTCCAAAATTATTGAGATGCAAATTACTTTTTAAAAGAATGCAATTTTGAAGTGTATCAAAATTGATACGAATGTACAATGGATATATGTGTAGCAGTTAGTGTTTAACCAGAAACAATTAATTACTAAAAACAAAAAAGAAAAAAAAAAAAGAATCTATCATTTCCTTGTCTACTCTCAGTGAACACGCAGGATTTCACCTGCATCAAGATATAACTTGAGCAGCTGCAGTTTATGATTTACATAAAATATAAGCTGAATATTAAAAAAAATTACCAAAAATTATCATAATCTGTTTGAAATCTTTCTTATCATATTTATTTTTCTTTAAAACCAACCATGTTGGTTACCAATTGTCAGATATTTCCAGTTTTATTCGCGCTGTTTTATCTTATATCAACATTATCTAATCAAATAGATAACATTCCAAAATTGTTAGGTGTTGAAAGAAATAGGTTCTATTGACTTTTGCATTTTAAAAACACAGGTGTTTTATACTAACAGACAAAAATGAGATACATTTGGAATTTCTTCTTTTTTCATTTATAA